CTCATGGGTGCAAAATCATTAAAATGGCACCACAACAGCACTATGAAATAGGTGGGATATCTGTTTCATAGATATGAAAGCTTGTGACATTAAGTAATATTTGCCCAAGATCACCCATGTAGAATGGAACAGAGCCAGGATCTAAACGCAGACTTTTCTACTTCCCAATCATGTTCTCCCAGCAATACCACTCACTGTACTGTCTTTTACAGTCCTCTCTTTTTATTCAAACTTGAAAGTTTTGGCTGTCTTTTAAAAAGTCCTCATTCTTTAAACCCCAGTAGTTTATTTCTTAGTCCCAGTTTAGGTTCATAAAAAAAATAATGATTCCTGAAACTCTACCCTGGAAGAAAACACAAGTGAGTTTTCATAGTAAAGGAACATGAGAAGATAGTGCATGTTTAGAAATACTAGTAAAAATGGCTTTATAAATGAGTCAGATTTACAGTGGTTGAATTTATTCAAACATGACCAATATATAAATGGTTCAGTCATGTTTCTGGTGATTTTCAGCAAAGAGCTACCCTCCCAAGTGCCTGATGTCCACAAACCTAAACAATAAAACTCTGTAAGAAGTTTTCAGCTCATGGGAAAATGACAGATGTAATAGAATCCTTCCATTATAGAAAGTCTACAGAAACACTGGACATTATTATCTGGAAACTGTTTCTCTGTTATATATACAGTTTCTGCCTTAGCACCTTAGCTTCATTTCTAATTTCTTCTGACCCTACGAGTTTTGTTACCTTGAAAACTTTCTCTTTTTCATTTGCTATGAGTCTGATAGTCTCCCAGTTCCCACTCTTGGAAGTTCTGAGCATGATTTTATTTTTAACCATGCATCCCTCCAGTGTTCATGACAGAAAGAGTACTCAGAATTGATAATATGGCTTTTATATATTTGTATTACAATGCAGGGTAAACAAAAAATAGGGAATAATTTTCAATGAGTTAAGTGTTGCTTTCAAAGCCATAATTCTTAGGATGTAAATTTAGGAAACATGTTAAACGTTGAGGCATTGCAAAGAACTGAGAGTACTTGGGAAGCATCCAAAGACAGGAAACCAGAAACATAGAAATCTTTAAAAGGAGATAAAAACTGATTCTAGACTTCCGTCTCTTGCTTCTTCAAAAGCAACACCCCAAACCATCGCTATTAAACTATTTCTCTTTCTTTTGGCTAAAGTTTCATGATGGAAATTGTAGGGATAATTTCTCTATAATTCTACCTTCAAAAACACAAACATCTTATCTGGACTTGAGTAAAATTCGTGGATTTTGTTCACACAGACTAATTGTCAAACCATCAAGCTGATGTGAGTTAGGCGAAGATGTGAATTTCATGTGTCAGGTGCCTGTTTGGTGGAATGGATACATTAATGGCATTTATGAAAGGCTAGGGGGCATGTGGTGTCGTACTTTGTGCTGCTTGGTCCTATGAAATCAGCCATCACCTGGATGGTGAAAGAAAACAGTGTTGAGTGTCTACAATATAATGCTAAGTTGGGGGTGATAGTGGTAGAGAGTTTGTGGCCAAATCTTGAGAGATGATTTAAAATTACAAATCCAGCGTTCAGAATTTGGAAGAGAGGTCAGTGGGGATGAGAGCAAAACCCAATACTCTGGGACCACTTAACTAGACACTCTCACACCCTCCTATTGCTTCTCAGAGCGGATTTAGTTTATAATTTTCATCTGTTTCAATTTCTCGGCATCTTTCTGCTCTGTCCCCTCACTCATGTTCACTGATTCATCCCATTTGAAGGTAGAATCCAAGCTTCTGATGCTTTTCATGGCATTTTCTAAATTCCTTCTCATGGGGTCTTTGGGTGCATTACCAGTCCTCTGAGAAATACCGCTGAGCTAAAAAATCTTACTTGCCAATCAAACCCAGATTATAAATGAAGGTATCTGCTGTAAGTTCTGGAAGACCATGAAGCATATGAAGCCCCAAGAAGCAAGAAAGCCATGTTTTTGGTGAAAGTGTTAGAAAAAAAGAAACCTGCTTTGGGATTTCTTTCTGTGTTTCTCTAAAAGGAAAACAAAAGGGAGGTGATTATTACTACCTGCTGCATATTGTCAACTTCACGAAAACATTTTTCCCTGCTCAGTGTCCAGAAATTGTGATGTAACACTCCCAGTTTTCACGTCTACTGTACCCTTGTTCTCTCATGATTCCTAGCATTCCTTCTAGGTAAGGTCTTGTTCTCACTTTTCCCCCATTTGGAATCCTGCTTGACCCATACAACAGATCTGATTTCACTTTCATTCACTAAGGCAGGGGTCCTCAAACTTTTTAAACAGGGGGCCACTTCACTGTCCCTCAGACCGTTGGAGGGCCGGACTATAGTTTTAAAAAAACTATGAACAAATTCCTACGCACACTGCACATATCTTATTTTGAAGTAAAAAAACAAAACGGGAACAAATACAATATTTGTATTTGCATGTGGCCCGCGGGCCGTAGTTTGAGGACCCCTGCACTAAGGCCTGCCCTCAGCTTGACCTTTGATTTCTCTCCCAAGTCCTCTTTTCCTTACAGTTCTCTTGGGAAATGGTGGTTCCTGAGGCACAAGGAACTGAGTCTGTTGAACAATCAGTTCTGAATTGCTGAGTGCATGACGCTGTGAAACTCAAAGATGTCGACTTTTGAAGATTTTCTCTCTTGTCAGCCATCGCCTTCCTCTAATATTGCCAGTTCTTATAGTTCACTTTCAC